CGCTGGGGTCACGGGGATGACCGGAGGCCGTCTGCCCTGTGAGCTCACGGACACCAGGAGAGACGCACACGGGAGCTGAGGGGACCGAGGGTCTGAATCCAGAAGTGGAAGGTGGGTGGAGGGAGGCTCTTCCAGAGAAGGCTGGACAGGGCCGTGTGGGCCACCTTGGAGACGTGGCCTTTGTCCCAACAGCAGCCCTGTCCTGATTGGGTTTTTCCTGCAGCAGACACGGGGATGAGGAAGGAATCCCCATCCGGTGGCAGGTGCCCTGCGCCCCCAGCCGGTCAGTGCCCCCACCGGACCGTCAGCACAGACCAGCTTTGTAGGTGTGTGCGTGACATAGTCCCTATTGTGTCTGCTGACTTCGTTTAACACTCTTGATGGTCACGCGTGTTGCCGCGGGGACGCGGGGACGCTGTCTTCCTTGCTGGTGCTTTTCCCTTGTACGGATAGATCACAATCTGTTTGTCATCCGCTGTGAAGGGACCTTCCCGTTGGGGACCATTATGAATAAGGCTGTGACAGACTTTCCTACACGTGGCCTTGCACAGACACACGTGTTCGCTGCTCTTGGGAAAATAACTATGAGGGAATCGTGGGGTCCCGCCGTAACCCTTCAGCTTTATAAGACGCCACAAAACCCTCTGAAGTGCTCCTAACATTTTACATCTTCACCAGAAGCATCCGAGAGTCCCAGTCCCTCCACAGCCTCACCGATGTCTGGCGTTGTCTTCTTGTCTAGCGGGTGTGACGGCGCACGTGATTTGGTTTTCATTTGCCTTTCGCCCATGACCGATGATATCGAGCATCTTTTCACGTGCAGACCGGCCACGTGTGAGTCTCCTTGTGAGACTCGTCGGCTCAAGCATTTGTTCCTATTCCTTGATTGTCCTCTTTTTTATTGTCAATTTGTGGCCGTTATTTTATAGATTCGGGATACTGCCGGAAGAGTGGTGAGCCTTTTCTCCCTCCCCGCAGCTTACCGTTTCATTTTCTTAATCGTGTCTTCCAAAGGGCAGGTCTTTTCCTTTGGTGAGCTCCTGCGGCTTCTCTCGTGGTCCGTGCGGTCGGGAACCTCTCCAGAACACCTTTGCTGACATTGACATCTTCATAGGGAGATTCTTCTGGAAACTTTGCGGTGTCAGCTTTTGTGTGGAGGGGTTCATGGTGCACTTTATGTTAATTTTGTGAATGGGGTGGAAAAGAGCCAGGGTTTGCTTTTTTCCCACGCTGACAGCCAGTTGTTCAAGCAACGATTGTGAAACAGACTCTCTTTTTTCCCACCTGACTGGGGCGGCCGCTTTGCCACCGACCATCAGAGCGGACCTGCTTCTGGCCTCTCCCCCGTGTCACGGCCTCCTCCCTGTCGCGTACCGCCTTCGGTAACGCAGCTTCGTGAGCCGTCTCGAAACCAATTAGTTCAAGTCTTCCGATTCTGCTCTCTCTTTTGAAAGATTGCTTTTCCTCTCCTAGATCCTTTGAATTTTCGTGTAAATTTGGAATCATCTTGTCTATTTTTTCAGCACAGCTTCCTGGAATTTTGATAGGAATTGCAGTAAATCTATGCATCAAGTTAAAGACAACGGAAATCATCAAAATATGAATTCCTTCCCATGAACATTGATTTGGGTCTTTTAAATTATACTCCACAATGTTTCAGTGCAAGGGCTTCCATAGCCTTCGTTAGATCTATTCCTGGGTGTGTTAGTTTTGACTACCGTAAATGGTATTTTAAAACTTTTATGTCCAATTGTTTATTCTTAATGTATGCAAGTGCAGTTGATTTTTCTCCATTAACCTGTCTTCTAACCTTGCCGAATTCACAAGGTTTTTCGTGGATTCCTTTGGATGTTCTATGTAGGTGAGCGATGTATCTAGGCAAAAGACAGCTTTACTTCTTTTCCGATATCTGCGCCTTTTACTTCCTTCTCCCGCCTCGCTCCGCGGTGAGGACCCTGTAACACGTGGCTCGTGGTGGGCGGCTCAGGTCCCAGAGTCACCTAGGGTCTCGTGGCCAGTGGCTCATTCTCCACCGGGGCCCGGCACCGTGACGGACGCTGCGCTCTGAACCGTGAGCGGTTCTGTGCTCCAGATGGCGCACCCTTGCTCCCGTGTTAGAGTTCTCAGAGATGCCGTGTGGTGTCCCCTTCTCCCAGGGGTACCCTCAGGGCAGTGGTCTTATTGCAGCATGAAGAGCTCACCTGCGCCCCGGCCCCACTAAGAGCCTTCTGCATCACCTGACACAGGGACATTCCAAGTAAGATGCACACAACCTCCAAAATCGGTGAGGCCCACCTGGCATCGTCCTTGCTCATCACAGGAGGTGGGGCAAGGCATCAAAACTTCCGCTACTCCTTAGAGGCAATGTCTTGGCATGCCCAGACCCCCGAACCTCTCAAATCGCCAGCTATGAGACAGACCCTTGAGACTCTACCATTTCTCTCCTACCCTTGGCATAAACGCATCTTACGAGGCATCCAAAGCACTTGCCAGTCAATGCTCCCCGGGTCTTATTAGCATGATGTCATCAAAAGAGTGAGCCAGCAAGATACCCCACAGGCCCAGTCCAGATGACAAAGGTCCATGGGGCCTATATTGTGACACAGAGCAGGGAGGTCAACCTCAGCCTGGGGCAAGACTGGAAACATAACTTCTTGCCTCTTCCAAGTGAACACAACTGTTTCTCACTGCTCCCCCCACCCGACGGGGTTGGAAAGAACTCATTCCACAGATCGGCCACCACGAAGCACATGCCACAGGCTGTGCTGTCCTGTTCTCCTAGATCCGTAACACTCAGCACCCAGCACAGCACCTTGGTTACAGGCTAAAACTTGGTTCAGTTAAAGGGATCTGCTGTCATTCATCATGATCCAACTGAAATAGAACATTATAAATTCATTTGATTATTTAGACTTTATTTTCAGGGGCAGTTTGCAGACACACAGCCAAATGGAGAGGAAAGTACAGATTTCCCATAACCCCCTGCCCCCACACATGCACAGCCTCCTCGTCCCCAACAGCCCCCACCAGAGGGACCAGGTGTTACAGGTGACGAACCCACGCAGACATGTCAACATCACCCAAAGCCCCTTACTCTCATCAGGGCTCACTCCTGGTGTTGTGCACTCTGTGGGTTTGGACAGACGCGTCATGATATGTATTCATCAGTTTAGTACCACACGGAGTATTTGCACTGCCCTAAGAATCCTCTGTGCCTCAGCTGGTCATCCCTCCCCCCTGGCAACCACTGATCTTTCCACTGTCTTTTTCAGAATGTCAGAGTTGGAATCATACAGAATGTAGCCTTCTCAAATTAGCTTCTTACATTTAGTACTAAGCTTTCGTTAAGTAGTAAGCAATAATTTAAGGTTCCCCCCTGACTTTTCATGGGTTGATGGCTCAGTTCTTTTCAGTACTGAGTAATCTCCCCTTGTCTGGACGGACCACTGTTCATCCATCACCTACTGAAGGACACCTGAGTGGCTTCCAAGTGTTGGCAATTACGAATGAAGTCACTGTAAAAATTCATATGCAGGTTTTTGGGCAAACATGGGTTTTCAGCTCCTTTGGGTAAATACCAAGGAGTGCAATTGCTGGATCGGGCGGTAAAAGAGTGTTTAGTTTTCTAAGAAACCATCAACCTGCATTCCTCCCGGCTCCTGATGTTCCATGTCCTCGCCAGCATTCGATGCTGTCAACGTTCCAACATCGATCGGCACGTGGAGTTTCCTCCCAGTTGTTTTAATTTGCACTCACAGATCGAGTTGAGGAGAACAGACATCTTGACAACCTCGAGTCTTCCTATCCATGAACATGGGACATCCATTTATTTACCTCTTCTTTGATTTTGTTCATCAGAGTTTTGTCATTTTCCTCATACAGATATTTTGCATATTTTGTTGGATTGATACCTAAGTGTCGCGTTTTTGATTCATCCGATTTTTGCTAAGGTTATACTGGTGAATTCGGGTCTTTCGGGGTAATGCTACGTTCTGCTATTGCCCCTGGGAGACAGTGTGTTTTGCTAGACTGTTTTGGCCATGAGAATAGATGTGTTTTTGAACTTTTCCCTTTGGCCTTCCCCACCATTGAGGCCCTTAGTTCTTCCAGGTACAGGCGCCCTGAGACACACTCAGACACTGAGGAAATGACCGCAGGGTGGGCCTGGACACTTTGTCCCCACTGTGAATCGGATTGGACCAAGGTCCTGTGTTCTTTTCTTTTTTTTTTTTTTTTTCCAAATAAGTTATCGTCGAATCGGTTTCCATACAACACCCAGTGCTCATCCCAGCAAGTGCCCTCCTCAGTGCCCATCACCCACTTACCCTTCTCCCCGACCCCCCATCCTCCTTCAGTTTGTTCTCAGTATTTAAGAGTCTCTTATGGTTTGCCTCCCTCCCTCTCTGTAACGTCAAGGTCCTGTGCTCTGACAGCCTCTACCCTCATGGCATTTTGTGTCCCCCTGTATTCGTGTCAGCTCAGGTCCCGAATCACACAGCCTTCAAAGGCCCTGGCATTTCCTCTCCTCTGTGTGTGGCGATTCGGGCACTCGGCCGGGGGCTGCTTTGCAGGAGGTTTGGGGAAGGTGTCGCTACACGCATCGCCGTGGGGTTGCAGGTCCCTCTACAGGAGCCAGGGTGCGGGCCGTGGCTCAGACGCCGGGGCATAAATAGCACTGAGAGGCAAAGAGGGTGGAGAGTGGACACTGTCTGCTAGGCGAGGGCACACGAAGGTCACGTGAGAGCTCAGCGGGGAAGGGGCTGCAGGTGGCCGTCATGGGCCGATGAGAGGGCGCGGGGTGGGGACACGGAGCCCTGAGAACAGAAGGGGAGGTGGCGTCAGATGCCAGGAGATGCTACCTTGAATAAGACGGAAGATGCCCCACCTCGGCGGGACCAGACCCTGTTGGCAGAGGGAGCCACAGGCGTCCCCTCTGCTGGCTTCAGTTTCCTTCCGTGTCTCCAGGGGAATATTCTCCACATAGATACACAGAAAGCGGCGGCCGCCGTCCCCACCGAGCCTACCCGGCGCGTTAATTTATTCAAGATCAGATATATAGCATTACATCACCACGGAGGAGCATGGGACTCAGGTCGGGACAAGCCCTCGAGCTCCAGGTCTCAGGCAGACGCTTGGCTCTGAGAGTCTGATGACATCACACAGACCCACACGCGTCTTGTGAAATACAAGGCGCCTTCGTCCCAGGCCCTGGGGAGACCAGGCAGCTGCTCCGGGGGACCTGCTGCCCGGCGCTCCCAGAGTCCCGGGAGGCCATCCCCCGGGCAGTCTGAGGTGGCCGTCTCTACCGCCCATCACCTGCCTCGGGGTGAAGCCCATTCCCTTCCCCGAGTGTCCCGGGTCCTCCGCGGGGCCGTGCAGCCCGGCTGTGGGTGGTGAAGACAGAGCAAAGGCAAGGCCGCTCAGCACTCCTTGCCGTCCAGGGTCTTGGTCTTCCGGAAGATGCTCTGCATGGCCGAGATCCGGTCCTCATCCTGGATGTTGAAGACCTGGAACTGCAGACGGGGCGGGGGACAGAGAGGTCACAGAGGCACCTCGGAGCCCATCGCAGGGTCCTGGATGCGGCGCGGGACAACACGTGCTCCTTGGCCACCGGGACTTCCTGCGTCTGGGTCTCTGCCTGCACGGTCCTCTTGACAGGTGGACCCACGCAGGGCCCTCTCGCCTGGGGGCGGCGGGGGGGGGGGGCTCTTCCTCACACACAGGTGTCCCCGGATGGGCCCGACACAGAGGAGGCCCCAGCAGGTGCTTGTGGAGGACGGGGCACGCACCAGCCCTCCTGCTGCCGTCCCCCGGGGCCCCACGTGTCCTGCAGGGAGACCGGGTTGGCTCTTTGGGGTGAGGGTGGGGGTTGGCCCTGGGGGAGAGGAGCAGGAGGGGGCTCTGCGGGAGCAGGGGAGGGGAGGGCCTAGCGAGCCGGCAGAACCTCGGAGACTCAAGGAGGTGCGGTCGGCAGAACAGCCGGGCGACCCCTGAACACCAGGCCGGACGCAGGATGCAAAGTCCGAGGACACGGCGTGGGCCTCCCGAGTCTCGGGATGCGGCAGGAAACTGGCCCGGTGAGGCCCAGGGACAGCCACACCCCTTCCTGAGGAACTGAGTCCAGCGTAGGCAGGCGGGGTTTGAGCACTTACCGGACGTGGGTTTGGGGGTGGTTCTGGAGGCACATTCGGACACGCTACCCTGGGGCCCTGGGGCACCAGTGGGCAGGGTCGCTCGTGGCCTGTCTGACCTCCGGATGTCACGTCTGCCCCGGCCGGCTCTTGCCGGCCCGAGGACCGGCCCGGCCGGCCTTCCTTCAGCTCCTGCCCGCCCCCCCTCCCCGGGGGAGCGGGTCCCCCCCACCCCCGCGTGTCACCCCGGGCAGTCTGAGACGCCCCTGCCACGCCCACCTTGTCCAGCAGGACATCAAAGTAGGCGGTGGCCCAGTAGGCAGGGTCGCTGGCAGGCAGCTGCAGGAGGGCCTTGACCCCGTTGCCGATGCGCGGTGGGGGGCCGCGGCCCAGGTGGGTCACGTGGATGCGCAGGGACGCCTCGGGTTGGCTGGCGAAGCGCTCCACGCGCTGGTACAGGGCGTTGAGGTCCAGGCCGGCGTCGCTCAGCAGGTTCCGCTTGGGGTAGACGAAGTGTGGCAGGTTCCCGGTGGCCAGGCAGCAGAGCAGCACCACCAGCAGCCGGTACACGGCGCCCTGCAGCTCCGCCCAGTCCTCGGGCGCCGGGAAGAGCACGGACGCCCACAGCAGCACCGTCTGCAGCGGGGCGGGGTACGCGGTCCGGCCCAGCCCCGCCCTCCCGGCCTTCCCTCCACCCGCGCCCCTGCCTGCGGCCCTCCCAGCCTTCCCTCCACCCCCGCCCCTGCCCACCTGTAGCCTTGCCGGCCCTCCCTCCACCCCCGCCCCTGCCCAAGTACTTGTGGCCCTCCCGGCCTTCCCTCCACCCCCACCCCTGCCCAGCCACCTTCAGCCCTCCTGGCTTTCCCTCCACCCCAACCCCTGCCCACCTGCAGCCTTCCCGGCCTTCCCTCCATCCCCACCCCTGCCCACCTACTCGTGGCCCCCCCGGCCTCCCCTCCACCCGCGTCCCTGCCCACCTGCAGCCCTTCCGGCCTTCCCTCCACCCCCGCCCCTGCCCACCTACTTGTGGCCCTCCCCACCTTCCCTCCACCCCCACACCCGCCCAGCCCCCTGTGACCCACACCACCTTCCCACCACCTCCACTCCTGCCCACCCGCAGCCCATCACCCTTATGGAAGCTGTCCCCTGGAAGTCTCCTGACCCCTGCACCTCTCCCCCACACTCCATACCTCCCCCCAGAGGTCCCAGAGCGAGCCCCAGCCCCTCTCCACTTGTTGTCCCCATCCTGCCACCTCCCCAATTCCCCGAGGCACTGCCACTGAGTCCAGGCTCGGAGGGACCTTGGGGCCCCACTCTGGCTTCCCATCCGTGGTGCCCAGGACCCCTCTCAGGAGATTCTGAGGCTCTGCCCCTCCTCTGGCCCTTCCCATCGTGCCCTGCGCCCTGACGGCACTCCTGCTATACAGACCAGCCTGAGCCTGTGGCATCGTCCTGGCCCAGGTCTGCATCAAAGCCGTAAGAGTGGACCTTCCTCCCCCTGTCCCTGAGCCCCCCAGCCAGGGCCCCTCCCCAGCCACAGTTGTGCCCTCCCACCAGCCCCCATCATCCCTGCTCACTATGGGGCTCAGGAGCCACAGTGGGCCAGACGCCAAGGGCCCTCTTAGAAGCTGCCGGCCCCTCGGGGGTGGGATGAGGGCCTGCAAGGGTGGGGAGCGGGTCAGACCGGCTGTCCTGTGCAGGCCAGGCCACCTCTCTGTTAACCCCCAGCTGCCGTCACGGAGCAGCACTCGGCAGGCCTCCGCACCCCACCGCGGCTCGCTCCAGGCAGAGACCCCGCCCGCTTCCCCTTCAAGGTCTTGTGCCCCGGCTCTGGCCTTCCTTTGTTCTTCTCAGCCCCTGACGGTCACAGGGGCCGAGGAGGACACGGCTCCAGCCACGTCATAGCAGCCAGTGAGCAGCACAGGGCTCAGAGTGGGGACCCCCGGCCGGTAACATTCACGGCCACGGGGGCCAGTGTGCCCATGAGCCCCCTATGCGCACCTTCAGGTGACTGAAGTTCAGGCCGGGGCTCTGGCCGCCGTCGCGCCAGCTCTCGTGGTTGACCCGGTCCAGGATGGAGAGGCCGTCCAGACGGTGGCCCGGGAGGGAGCCCAGCGCACCGAGCAGCCTGGTGAGCAGGTAGTCCGTGGAGACCCTGGGGGCCGGGACAGCACACATACTCGGTCAGCGTCGGGGCTCCGGCCAGCCGTCCAGGGACACGCTGCATCCCCAGAAAGGAAAGCCCCCAGCCGTGGCCTCCCCAGGATCAGGCCTTGAGCCCCACAGGATGGTCCAGGCCACGGCAGGGACTATGCCGCTGCACTCGGCCCGGCCCAGCCCCACGAATGTCATCCACTTCCAAGGATTAACTGTGAGAGCGACCCCTGCTTACTTCAGCCCCAGGCTGCATTCCCCGGGCGTGGGAGCCAGTGGGGCATCACCCTGGCCAAACCACAGCGGCCTTGCTGTTTAAGTCCTGCCAGAGCTGGACGGGCTCAGTCCCCGGCCCTTGGTTCAGGGTCTCAAGGGGAGCTCAGCCTCTGCCCCACGTCCCCTACTCTGTCTTTCCTGCTCACGGACACCAACTCGGGGTCTCCCTTTGCCGGCCGGAGAGGGAGGGGAAGGGGCATCCGCACCTCCCCCAGTTCGCAGACTCCTGAGGTGGAGACGGGGGCGGGGGGGCCACAGGAGCTGCTGGGGCTCTGGGGCCAGGCGGGGGCGGGGACACCACAGGTGGCGGTGTCCTGGCAGGAGGACCTACCGTCTCCTAATGGGGAAGGGCCACCGGGACAGGAAATGCTAGCAAATTCCCGGTGCGATCGCATCCCCCACCTCACTGTGTGGACACCCCTCCCGACTGTCCCCGGAACCTGCGGGACCCTGGGTGAGCCACCCGGCCTCTGGTGTCCAGAGCCTTCTGCGTTTCTCTGAGTGTCCCCTCACGGCCCGCCCTGGCCCCCGGCTCGGGCGGCAGGGGGCACGGCTCCACCCTCCCCGCAGCTCCAAGAGGGGCGAAGCTGGCGGTGGGCAGTGATGACCCCACGTCCCCCAGAGATCCCAGGGACGTCAGCGCGGCACAGAAGCCTATGGGGCAGAGGCGGGGGGAGGGGGTCCCCGCAGACCTTCCTGCCCGGAGTGGGAAGAACAGTGGGGTGGCAGCCCCCTTCCCGCCGGCTCCCCAGGACCCCACAGACCCCAGGACGCGTGTCCGACCTCCAGTGCTGGGCACTGGCTGGCACCAGGGCCGCTTCTTGGCTGATGATCCTTTTCAAGCTGCCTTCAGGGAACCCGCGCATCCACTGAGCCCTCTCCAGGGCGGGCACCCCGAGCTTTCTCCGCACCATGGGCACGATGTTGAACCGGATGGGTCGCCAGCCGCTAGACACGAGCAGGGACAGGTGGGACTGCTTCTCCTCCAGGCTGTCCGCGTTCAGAGAACCTGCAACAGCCCGCCGTGCCCTGGAACCCTCATCTCAGACGGCCCCCCGCGCCTCTGGGAAGGGGCTGGGCAGGTGAAGGACAGGGCCAGACCCGGGACGGCTCGGGGTTAACACACGTGACCCCAGAGGCCCGGTGTCGGGAGATGCGTGCCTGGTGCCCCGCGCCCAGGAGGGCCTGGATCCAAAGGCTGACAGTGGACGCGCCTGGCTTCCACTCCACACCCCGGGTCCCCAGAGCCACACGCCAGATGGCGCACTCCAGTAAAGATGCTTCCCGCTCCCGTCACCCCTCGGACCCAGCCCAGCACCCACACCCAGAGCCCAGAGCCCCCAGACCACCCAGGAGGGGACATTCCCAGGGTGACAGGGCTGGGGGCTGGCGAGGCGGAGACACTCGGGGATGACCCGGGGCCCTCTGGCCTCCCTCCTCAGCTGTCCCTTCCCCCCCAGTAAACAAATTAATACCACAGAGAGAGGAGGGGAGCTGAGCAGTGTGGGGGACACTCCTGTCACCGGCCCTTACCAACCCCAGCCAACACCAGACTCGGAGACGTCCCTCCTTCCCTCCCCCAGCACTGCCCAGTGAGGGTGCTGGTCAGGGGCCAGGGGACCAACCGTCTGGGAGCCATGTCCCAAAGGGAACCCCCAACATGTGCCTGCAGGGACTGAGCCCGGGGGGTGGGGCTCCTCACGTCCTACAGCGGCACGCAGCCCGCCCTGGCCCACCCACGGCGTGGGGGTCTTGTAGGAAGGAGCCTGGGCCCCGTTATGCAGACCGCTCCCCCCAAACCCCTGTGGGGTATTCCAGGTCCTGGCCCTGCCACCGGACCACTCCATCGCCTACATGGGCCTCAGTTTCCCCATCGGTCACAGGAAGGAAGGGGCTCAGTGACCCCTGGCCCCTTCCAATTCAGGGTTTGAAGCACTTGTCATCCAAAGCCACTACTGGTAGCTTCATTTCCCTACCTACCATTGGTCACACATTCTGTCCACGGAGGCGGCTTGGAGGGCGGCCAGCCACACCCGCAGCCTGTCCCAGCCACTCCCTGCCTCAGCCCCCAGCCCGGTCTCACCGGTTTGTTCCCAGGTGCGGGCAGCCTGAACCTCGTCACCTGGGGTTGCTCTGCTTCCCTTTTAAGGTAAGTGTCTGGGAGCAATGCTTGGAATTTCCCTGCGTGCCCAGCTCGGTCGGCCCCTTGGGCGTGGCTCCCAGCCTCCTCTGCTTTCTGGGCCGGGCCGGGGGACGGTGGGGACCTGGGAGTGGCAGCTCAGAGTGTGCCTGAAAGGCCCAGGGCTGGGCCATCCCAGCAGGCGGGGCAGACGGCCTGCAGGTGACAGGGCCAGGTGGGCATGGCCACCGTAGATCATGGAAGAAGACAGCAGTGGCCCTGCCAAGTCACCCGCCGTAATTGAAAGGTTCAGAAGATGACCAGAGAAGATGTCCAAGGGGCCTGATGACAGGTTCCGGCGGCCCTGGGAGGGCTCTATCTATCGTCAGCTCTGAGAGGGTGGCCACCCGCCCGGGTCTCCAGGCAGGTCTGGAGAGGGGCCAGGGTTGGACATTGCCCCTCTTGCTGTCGGGAGACCGTCCAGAAGCCTCTCGGAGCAGCCCGGGGCAGGCCACTGTCCGTGCGACGGGCTGACCGTCCATCCCTGTTCTGACGTTATGAAAGACACGAGGACCAGGCGGCTGCCACCGCCATGGCCCGTTCCTTCCCAAGGGAAACGGGACTTCCGTTTGCGTCCCCACTTCTCTGCCAGGACAACCCGATGTATTTGCTCTGGCCCCCAGGAGGGTGCTCTGCTGTCCTGGGCCTGCACCCGCTGCACACACGCACCCACGCAGTCTTCCCGCTCCGTGCACCGTGACCAGATGCCGGAAGCGGGGACGCCCGTCATGCCGAGCTGGAACTGATAACAGAACCACCTGCCCAGAACTATGGCAGGGACCGTCATCAAGCAGGTCAGCCGGAAACCCCGTGCCCCGGACTTAGCTTCTAGCTGTTCGTCAAGTAACATCCGTTAACGCGTTACCGCCAAAGTCACCATGTGAAAATCAGGCAACGTGGAAATGGGTGACCTGCGTTCTTAGAAGTGTTTGGAACCAGAAAGGATTTCAGAGCGGGATCCCCCAGCCCGTGTGCCCTGACACCCACTGAGCCATCGCGTGTCTGTGCACACGCACGCAGACGCACACCCACTGAGCCATCGCGAGTCTGTGCACACGCACGCACACACACACCTCAGCACACGCGCGTGCCCAGTGTGTCCCGCCCGCTACCTGGCGTGACGAGGCCCTGGTGTCTGCAGTGCACCACGGCCGCCACCAGAAGGTCCTTGAGGACGCGCAGGACCTTGCTGGGCGCGATGTGGCCGCGGCACCCGGCGCCACCCTCGGAGGAGACGCTGAGGACGTCATCGGCCATCCGCCGTTCCGGGCGGGCCCCTTCCCTGGAGACACCCAGGCGGCAGGGCGCAGGGCCATCGCCCGCCTCGGCGGCCCCCACCTCCTCAATCAGCAGGGCGTCCGCGTCCACCCGCAGGGGCACCTCCACGTGCAGGGGCTCCTCCGAGGTGCGCAGGGCAAACTGGAAGGCCTCCAGGTCACGGGAGTAGTCCACGAGGAAGCGGGGGTCCAGGTGGTGCACGTGCTCCAGCACCGTGAGCAGCACGTTCTCCGCGCGCTGGAAGTCCTGCGCCCGCCGTGCCCCCCGCGAGCGGATGGCCTGCAGGTAGTGCTGCCACAGGGGCACCTGCACGGCCATGGCCGGGGCGGGTGTGGACGGGACGGGGGGAGGCACCGGCCGGGCGAGGGGCGCTCTTCGGGCGGGCCGGCTCCCCGGAGAAGCAGAATTCGAGTGACGGGGGCTGCGGGCCTGACCCAGACCTTTGAAGCGAGGCTGAGTCAGTCACGGACAATTAGGAATGTCACCGCCGCGCAGCCTTGGGCGGGGAGGCGGGGCCTGGTCACCACCCAGCCGGGGGCCTCCCTCCTGTCACGCTGACTCCGCCTCTTGGGCCCAAGGCACCTTCAGGCTCCCGACCGCCCTGGAGAAAAATCAGTCGGCACCGCCACTCGGGGTGTGGCCACCTCCCGCCCTGCTGTCCTGGAGGTGGGGACCCCGTTCCTGGCGCCCCCCACCCTCATGCCAGCAGCCGCGGGGTGTCTGTGGCATGTGGGCCTCCCTGCGAGCCTGGGGGAGGGCCGCGTGGCATGCCATCGCTCCGAAGAGAAAGGTGAGGCCCGGGGGGTGGCCTCCCCAGACCTCCTGCGTGGGAGGCAGCTGGAAATCAGCGCTGGGACTGTGTTTCCACGGCGACCTGAGCAGCCCCCTCGGGCACCTGTGCCCCCCTGCGAGCTGGCGCCTCAGACGGCAGCCCGGGCCGCAGCCTGCTGTGAATCCTGCCTCCTCTCCCGTCAGGGCCACACGTCCAACCCCCCCGGCCGGCCTGAGGCCCTCAAGCTGCCTGCCCCCCAGCCCGCAGGGCCTTCAGCCTGAGGGGGGTCCGCACCCACCTGGCTCTGCAGGGGGAGCGAGTCTGGCTCCAGGAGCCGTCTCCCGGGCCCCTCCTTGCTGGGCGGAAAGCCTCGCCCTGCCGAACCCCTCCAGCGCCGTGCTGGGAGCGCTGCCCGGCCCGGCCCGTCTCCCCACTCAGGGCCGGGCAAGTCCCAACCAGCAGGGGGGACCGCCCCCGCTGACCCTTGGCCCTGTTGGGCTGGCCCGGGACGCTGGGTGCCCCTGCCGGGGTGTCTGCAAACAGCGAACCTGGACGTAGCCCCCAGCAAGGCATCCTGGAGACGCTGCCCTGCAGCCCTCCGGCGGCAGCCTCGCCCCTACCCACACAGGGGCCTCAGACACCGGGTTGCTGCAGGCAGAGCCTGGAGCCAAGATGCTCACTTCCTGGTGCTCGGAAGCCCCGGTGACTGGCTCTCTCTTTCCACACCTCCCCGGTCGGGGAGCTCACCACCTCACAGAGCAGCCCATGGCACGGCCAAACAAGAGACCAATTTCCTGCCTTAAACCTGGCCCCATCCTGTCCTCTGGGGTTGCCCAGAGCACGTCCGTCCCTCTCCCAGGGCAGCTGCTGCCTGTCAAGGACCCAGACTCCCTTGGTCTGCCTCACACCCCACCTATACCCCGTTCTGTTGCCCCCACACACTCTGCCCTGGCCCCTCTGTCTTCATGGGACTCTGACCTATGGGGCATTGCTGCAGAGGCGCTGGGAACTGCGGTCCTGACCCTGACCCTGGGTCACAGGGTCCTGTCTGTACCCTGGCTCCACCGTCTGTGACCCGGTGATCCCATGTCCCTTCAGCTTCTTTTCACGGGAACCTCACGGCAATCCCGAATTCACCCGGGAGACCCTGAGGCCCCGTCTTCCAAAGTGCCCACTCTGGGGACGATGCCGCAGGGACCTTCCCCATCGGGGGCAACCCCCATGTTGTGCCCCCAACCCCCTGTCATCCAGGGAGCCCCCTGCAGCCCCCTCTTCCGGACAGTGACACAGAAGCGCCCGAGGCCTGCGGTCCATGTTCCCCTCCTCCGCTGGTCAGCTGACCCTCTCTGCTGACCCCCGTTCTACAGCCCCTGCACCTGCTCCTCGGTGCCCCACGGCAGCTCCGTGTCTGCCCCCAGACTGCCCACGGGCACCTCGCACCCCGTCCCCTGGGAGGGCAGAGGAGGGCAAAGACGCGGGCGCCACCCCGGCCTGCCGGGCAGAGTCTGACCACAGAGGGACCGGGACCGCCACCCTGCAGAGCCCAGGGCCAGCGTGGCGAGTGACCGGGAGGGCTGCAGACCCAGGCCCGGGCGGCCGGGCCGCGGGGGGAGTTTGCTGGCTGGAAGCTGTGCCGACCACCAGCACGTGTTTGTGCTTCTACCTCCCCGGAGAGCTCGGCTCAGGGCAAGCTCACAGATCCCGTGTCTCGGGAGCTCCCAGAGGCGCTGCAGAAAGGGACCCGCACTGAGCCCGTGAGGTGGGCCGCACGCTGCCTCGGCGTCGCGGGCTCATCTGGAGAGGTGGTCCCGGGCGGGTGCCACTCAAAGTCCATGCGTCGGTCTCCCGTGGCGGCGGTGACACATCACCACACACCGGGGCGCTGAGAACAACACGAGCCTGTTCTCTCCTGCTTCTGGGGCCAGGGGTCCCAGGTCAAGGTGTCGCCGGCCCCTGTGAGGCTCCTGCCTGCCTCTTCCAGCCCCGCCTGTGCCTGCGCGCCCACGTGGCCCTCTCCGTGTATCTCTGTCATCGCCCTCTGCCTCTGTCCTACAAGGACCCTTGGGAGGGCCGGCCCCGGCCGGCCTCACCGCACAAGCCTCAGCTCCGCTCACCCGGGACCCTCTCTGCCTGATCGTAGCGACGGGTTCCAGGCGCAGGGAAGCGGCCGCTCTTCACGCGCATCGGACCGTGTCCCGCGACCTCCTCCGGGAAGCCGCCTCGCGTGTCTTGCGCTCACCCGCCCCTCCGCTCAGACTCCCAGGCCCCCGTCCAGACCACGCTTGTCAAGTCCCCGCACGCACGGCCCCGGGGGGCCCCCAGGACACACAACCAGACGCTGCCTGAGTTGCCAGTGTGATCCCCCAAAACGGTCAGTGTTGCCCGTGGGGACCCCTCCCTCCGTGCACAGTGGCGGGCCCTTCCCTCAGGGCCTCGCGGTCTGGCTGAGCCCGCGTGCCCAGAGCACCCGGGCCAGAAGCCGCTGGCGCTCGGGAGGCACAGGGAGCGGTCAGGCCTCAAGAGAGGACACGCTCGGGGGCCATTTGACACTCCGCGCGAGCCACTGCCAGCCCGGCCTCAAAGCCGTCGCGGGGAGACGAGGAGGCCACACGGATGGGCCCCCGAGACGCCTCCACGCTCTGACGGTGACGGACGGCGACTCGAAACCGGCCCCCCTTCCACACGATGCCCGTGAGCTGCCGAAACGAGCGGTCTGCATGTGGCCGGCGTCAGAGGGCCCCTCCCACACGTGGCTTCCGTCGGCTTTAGGCCGGAACAGCAAGGCTCGCCAAGCTGGACGAACTGGAGCGCTGGTTCCCACGAGGGTCCCTGCAGCCCCACCGTCCGGGCAGTCCCTCTGTCCCTGGCAGTCCCACTGTCCGGGGCAGTCCCACTGTCACTGGCCATCTGGTCGTCACGGGCAGCCCCGTCACTGCCTAACTCTGGTGTGCGGTGGCCCGAGGACACACAGGACACACATACACAGATGGACATGGATGGACATAGTCTGACGTGCGTGTCTGACTGGCATTGGACGCAGCCGTGGGCGCTCGTGTGCTGCTTCTGCGGAATATTCGAGTGTGACGGGCCGTGTACGTGCGTCTGCCAAACCTGGCCCCCCTTCTCTCGTTCGCCCCTGGAAAGGGTGAAGCAGCAGAGAAATGGGGGCCTTTGAAGAGCCACACTGGCTCCAGTCGCTGGCCCTTCCCAGCCGCCTCCAGCCTCCGGTCCAGGGCTCGGCCTCGGCCTCCTCCTCCTCTGCGGGGATTAGAGGCAGAAGGTCTGCAGGAAGCACAGAGGCCGGGAAGGCAGCCGGGGCGGGTCAGGGGAAGAGGGAGAGGAGGGCGGCGGGGCCAGCAGGGGCGAGGCCCTGGCCGCAGGAGGGAGGCCTGGGCTCCGGGGCTGGGGCTGCTCTGAAGCGGCCTCAGGGTGGGGACTGCAGGAGCTGGGTCCTCTGTGCCTGCCGACCGACCCGCCCCGTGGGGCGGCTGCCCCGGGGGGAGGGGGAGAGACAGGCAGGAGCCGGCAAATTAAAAGTCACCGTGGGAGGGCGAAACGCGTTCCTTCTGGCCGAAACCAGCCCAGGTGGCCATCCTCCGGGCCAGCAGGAGCTGACGAAAGCGTGGGGTCCGAGGGCCACGGACCAGGAAGGAGGAGGGCTCAGAGAAGGCGCGGCCCTGCGAGCCTCAACATCGGGACCCTTGCCTGGCAGGGGGAGGGCTGGACAGCGGTGACCCCCCCCCCCGAAGTAGGGGGCTTGTAAGGGAGGGAGCCAGGCCCCCGATGTGACCACAGCCGGCACCCCTGCCCGGGCTTGCCTCAGAGACTTCTCGGTGGGTGGGTGGGTGGGGTCGGAGTGAGAAGGGAGCTCCGCCCTCGGCTGCCCCTGGGCGCCCACACGACCTGCCGCATCCCTGTCACTGGGCGTCAGACTCCCCGCGGCCCGGCCCGAGAACCAGCGATGCCTGGGGTTATTCCGCCCTTGTTTTCTGGTGATTCCTCAAAGGCGTCGTCTGCTGGGTTGCAGGACGCGGGAGGCACAGAGCACAGGAGTCACATCACTGGCCCTTGTCCCCCCAGGTCCCAGGGGCTCTCCCCACCGACCGCCCCCACCCCGGCACTGCCCAGGGGCCCCGCCCATCCCACCTGTGCCACTCCATCAGGCAGGGGACTGTGGGGCTACATGTGGGAGGTGACGGGGCACCTAACACCCAGCAGTAATGGGGGGAGGGGGCGCTTGTCAGGAGGCAGCAGGCCCCCTCGAGGAAGGTGCATGCAGAAGGTGCCCGAGGTGGTGAGCTGGGTTGTGAGGGTTCATCTGTGTGGTGGGGGCTGCCCAGGGGGTGGCCCGAAAGGTGAGCCATCCAGGTGTTTGTGGACACTTGGGGTCACCCGAGGAGAAGCAGCTGTGTGGCCAGCCAGCGCCGTCATCCGGAAGGTGGCCACCCCCGGCCAGCGGCAGAAGCAACGGGGAGCGGACAGCCGAGCCACGAGGCTTTCCAAGCGAGAAGGAGTCTGGGGGAGTCCACAGCCCAAGATGGGGGCCGGCGGGGGCCCGGGGGGAGAGGAGGGCTCCCAGGGTCTCAGTACAGGGGTGGGGAGAAGGGGTTGTGAGAAAGGAGGACCCCAGGCAGACGATCTCTCAGGCCCGAGGAGCATTGATGTGGGTCCCCTGTGGTCACGCAGGGCCCAGCTCTGTCTGTCCAGGGCCCAGGTGGTCAGCGCAGGGCCGGACGGGACTTCTCCCCGACCTTCCTCTAGACCACGGGAACCACAGCACGGCTCAGACCAAAGAATCAACTAGATTTCCTTCGAGGCTGCCTTAGAGCTGTGGCAGAAGGGTCGCCCCCGGTGCTGCAGGCAGGGCTGAGTTCGGTTTGATTTGGTTTGATATTTTCTATGGTGATAAAAAGCATAACGTAAAATTTACCTTCCTAACAATTGTGCGACATTAAGTGCGTTTACATTGTTGCTATTATCATATTGTTGTGCTACCACCGCGGCCCCCCCCCCCCCCCGTCTCCAGAACTCCTTCCCAAACGGAAACTCTGAACTCCTCGTCAAAAACTAACTCCCCACTCCCCTGAGCCCCCTGCCCCCCTGTTCTACTTTCTGCCTCTATGATTTTTTTTAAGACTTTAAGGTATCTCTACACCCAACACAGGGCTCGAACACACAACCCCGAGATCCAGAGTCACAGGCACTCTACCGACTGAGCCGGCTGGGTGTCCTTCTGTCTCTATGACCTTGACTGGTCTAGGGACCTCATATAAGTGGAGTTGGCCCTGTTGTGACCGGCTAATTTCACTGAGCGGAACGTCCACAAGGTTCGGGTCGGTATTTCACGCCTTGTGGTTGAATAACACTCCGTTGGACGCACAGATCACACTTTGCTGCTCCGTCCATCGTCCGTGTGCACTTGGGCTGCTTCCTCCCGCTGGCTGTTGTGAGCCTGGGTGTCCAAATGTCCCTGGGACAACCCGCTTTCAATTCTTTTGGACACATACCCACCCGCAAGCAGGACTGCTGGGTCCTACGGCAACGCCACGGCCAGCCGCGTGAGGGGCCGCCGTAGCATTCGCCGCAGCGGCCGGCCCCTTCTGCATTTCCACTCAGGGGATGAGCGTCCGGTTTCTCCGCACTCCTGACAACACTTGCCATTTCCTGGGGTCTGTGTTACAGGAGCCCTGATTATGCGTGTGGACCCCGCTGTGGTTTTGATTCGCGTTTCCTTCGCAATTAACGAGCATCTTTTCAATTATCGGCCGTCCGTGCCTCTTCTTTGGAGAAAGGTCGATTCGGGCCTTTGCCCCCCTGTTGCTCAGCTGTAGGAGTTCTGTACAGATTGTGGACCTTCATTCCGACATCTGATATATGATTCCCAAATACTTCCTCCCAACCCGAGGGTCACCTTTTTGCTCTCTCGATAGCTTCCTTTGATGCACACGAGTGTGTCAGTGATCCGATTCACTTTTCTCCCCCGTGTTCTCTGTGCTTTGGTGCGACACCCAAGAAATCGTGGCCACGGCGCTTTTCTCCTGTGCCTTCTCGTCAGGGCTCTATGGTTTGTTCCTCTGACGAGTCCTCAGCAGGACTAAGCCCGGCCGCCCCAGCTCCCAGGTGCACAGGGCCTGCCCACGGCGGCCTTCTCCGGCAATCGTGTGAACAGACGCCTACAGGGTGGGTTCCGCCCCAGGGAACCTCTCAAGACTCGCTCCCAGGCTGCCCCTGCCACGGCCAGGGCTGACCGGCGCCCCTGTGGTCCCTCTGAGGGTGGACTGGATGCCGAGAGAGGCCCCACGAGCTGGCCCGAAAGGGAAGGATGACGCGTCTCTCCCACAGCACGTGTGCCCGGGGGCCCGCTTGGGGACACCCAGAGCCTCACCCAGGCACGGACCCAGATGTGAGCCTCCCGGTGGCCCCTCAGATCCCACCTGTCTGCTACAGGCCTCACCTCTGTCACATGGGCAGAGGGGCAGACGCACAGACAGCAACCAGTCGCCTCAGCACCAGGCAGCAGCCCCGGGCGGCCCCCGAGCCGGGCGCAGAGCAGGGCCGCACTTAGTAGACGGCCTGCTTTCCTGTCCGCACCTGCAGGGGACACGCCCGCTAGAGGCCTCGAACCCCGGTCAGCTGAGCTGAGCCTGTCAGTGGGAGTGGCTCCTTTCCCGAGCCATCACCCGCCCTCCCTACATGCGGTCACTGAGGACGGTCGGCTCGGCGGGGGGGGGGTCGCTGAGGGGGGGTCGCTGAGGAGCACAGATGCAGAGCCAGTCAGGTCCTACAGCCGGTGGGTGGGACGGAGGCCCCGAGGGGCTGGACGGCGGCACCCCATTCCTTTACGGCCTGCTGCCCTCTTCCCCGGGGTTGCCCTGCTTGTGACCCGCCTCGGGAGGATGTGTCAGGGCCACGTGTCCCATCCACAGCAGGCTCAGCTGACCCGCCCTGGTCCTGTCTGTCACGGCCTGTACAAGAGACGTGGATGAAAGGCAGGCGTGGCCTTGACACCAGGAAGCCAGTACTGTCATTCGAGCTTTGAGGTCCCTTCCCCTCTCGGGAGGGTCTGAATTGGGTGTGGCAAATTCCGGTGCCCCTGGGGCCAGTGGCAAACAGACAGAGGTGGGGCCATCTTCTTGCCCTGGGTCAGGACAGCCATGACCCTCCCTGAGCCCGCCCGGCCCACCCGGCCCACAGAGATGCCGCCTGCATGGTAAGGACCTTACGTCACACCCTCTGTTCATTCCAGGAAATTTTGTGGGGGCCATGCCCAGGTCCAAGGCTGAGCCCCGTCCTGAGGGTTCTCCTTCTTGTCCATCGACGGCCCAGGACCGGGAGCCACAAGCAAGGACACCAAGCAGTGAGGCCTTGGGGTTACGCACGGGGCCTGTGGGAGCCTCAAAGGGGCTGGGCTTCCCCCTGAAGGAAAGGGTACAGGTGTGGGGGTGAAGGCCGGAATGTGTTAGGCTTCTCCACAGGGCCTTAAGGGCTTAAGGGGAGAACAGGCTGAGTAAATGCTGGGGTGGGGTCAGGGCAAGAGGCTCCCGGAAGGATGCCCCACCCACCGGAGGCACCACCTTTCCTGGTTTCCCGCAAGTGATCACAGACGGTGTCGCCGGCCTCCACGGCCTCCTCGCCACCCGGCCGTCACACGGATGCCCCCCGACGGAGTTCCCCAGGCAGGAGCTCTCACCGGAAGCAGGCCATGCCCTCTGTGCCCCCAGAGCCCATCTGGCTGGGGTCAGATGAGGCCCAGCCCCTGTGCCCCACCAAGGACACCTGTCTCACACCTCTCCCAAGTCCTGGGGCTCAGACCCCAGGGGTGCTGTAGACGGCCTTGGGTGCCGGGAGGTGCCCAGGCCACAGCACGGGTCCCCTGGGCTCCGAGTCTGTATCTCGGCTTCGTGCCTTCAGTGCACTGGCCTGTGCACGGAGCCTCCTGACAGGCCCGGACGCCCAGTGAGGCGATGTCCCGCCTGAGAGCCAGTCTTGTCCCTGCATGGAGCACTCCTCCTGGGGGGCCAGGACAGAGCACAGGTGTCTCTCAGGGACAGGTGCCTTTGCGCACCAGTGGCCCTGTCTTGAACGTCTATTCTGAGGAGAGAGCCTGGGCCCCTAGCATCCCTCAGCAGCGCTGGTGACAGATACACTCCCTGACCACCAGGGACTTCTGGCCTTGCCTGGCAGGCTGTCCCAGAGGAGCCCACCCCCGGGGCCCCCACACTGGCCTCCTCTTGTTAGAGGGGCGGTCAGTCCTGGCTGCCAAGCCCACCTCCAGGGACTCCACTGGGAGAGGTCCACTTAGAGCAAGGACTCGGGGGGAGGGGGGTGCGCGGGGGGACGCGGGTGTGACCGGATCACCAGACCAGACTCAGTCCAGAGGCCCCAGGAGGCCCAGGCTAGATGGGCACAGGTCTGTGTTTGTCCCTCCCCTTGCCTTGCCCCGGGGGCTGGGTCCCACCACCCCAATGGGTGAGCTGTGAGTGTCCCGGTCAGTCCCTTATGTGGCTCTGGGAAGCTTTCAGTGACCGAGGATTGTGGCAACTATGGGAGGAATCCCCGTGGGGCAGATTACCCTAAGAGGGCTCCAGAGGGAGGTCAGATTCTGGATGGCCAGTCCAGGTACGAGGTTCGGGCGATGGGGGTTTCCTGGGGTCCTTAGACAGGTGGTTTCTCCTCTCCAGCCCTCAGCCTGTCCACCTGCTGGACACAGTCCGACTACTGACCTCTACAGTCTTTTCTAGATGTTAGGGAAAAAATGGGGTTTGTTTGTTTGTTTATGATTGTCCATCGGGAGGAACCAGTGGCCCACATGCCACCTTCCCCTGACGTGCGGCCTCCAAGCTCACAGCGCCTCCCGAGGAGAAGGCTGGGGCCCTTCCCCGCGGCTGCGGGAGGGGGTCCGGGGCAGAGGCCAGCCCCTGTCCGGGCGTGGCCGCGCAGGTGGACAGCTTCACCCAGGGCGCCTCCAGGTCTCCGGGAAACCGCTTCCAGACAACAGCGTTCTTTAGTCCCCATGGCAACAGGGCCTGCGCTCCTGTTTCCAGGGAAACAAAATCCTCAGCGTCGCGGTTGCCACAGCAACGTCTACGGGCTTCCTCGGCCACTCGGTCGCCAGCCCAGAGGGGCAGCTGGGCACCTTGGACGGAGGAGCCAGGTGTCGTGCCGGCGTGGGGCTGGTGCACTGACGCAGGTCCTGGCCCGGCCCGGGTCCCGGCCGGAGACTCACCTGGCCGCCCAGCCCCGGCTCTCTCGGAGTCCCGCCCTCCCACTCGAGATGAGCTCTCCCTCCAGCGAGCCTGGCCACGGGGGTGCCACTGCAGAGCGGTCCCCACTGGGGCTGGACACCGTGATCCAGGTCAGTGGGGTGCCCGCCTTCCAGCACCCTCCCGGGAGGAGGCCCTGAGGGCACCTTGGGAGGGTGCACGGAGAGGCCACACCTCCCCCGCTCCCCACTTGAGGGCTCACGTGGTCAGTACGAGCCTGCGTACACACGCGTGCACGCACACACACGTGCAGCCGCGGCTCAGGAGAGGAGGCTGGGGGGAGACTGACCTGGGCAGAGGGAGACCCGAGCCCAGCCCCCAGCCTCCCCATCCGTGCCGGCACGAGCTCAGGCCGCCAGCCCTCTTCTCTGAGCCTCAGGCTTGCAGCCTGCACGCCGGGGACGGGGACGGCCAGAGCAACTGTCCACGCTATCGTTCTGGGACCTCGTGCACTGCTTTCTTTGTGGCCAAGTGTGGGATCCGCCACTGGTGGGTGGCTGCGGCTCGTCCCCGGTTCCAGGAGCTCCCCGGGTGCTTTTCTCCAGAGTACCGCCTGCATACCGGCAGCAACCGTGGGGGCTGAGAGCGTCCCCAGGCCCTTCTCTCCCTCACTCCCTGCCCCCCAGAGCCAAGCCACTGCCTGGCCCCACTAGGTGCCTGCTACTGCCATCACCTGACTCTGGCCACCACAGCCGGGCAGTCCCCACCCTGAGTGAGCCCTGGGGGAGCCCAGTGAACCTTGGTGCCCCAGCTGACTCACAGTTGTCTATTAACCCAGTTCTTAGAATCTCAGACTGTGCTGCAGGGGGTTGACACAGCCCGATATAAACAGCACAGGTCGCCGGAGAAGAGTAATCACCCACAGTTGGTGCCAGGTGATTAAATACCACGATGGAGGCACCTTACACCCACGCCCACGCGCACACGCGCACACACGGGTGCCCACACAGGACAGGTCAGGATGCGGCAGGAGAGTGAATCAGGTGATGCCAACCACACAAAACAAGGTGGCCCTGGGTGGGTGACTGTCTCTGTCCAGCTCCCAAAGGGTCTCAGTTCCCTGGATGGAGAGAAGGATAGAGGCAGGAAGGAAAGGCTTGCACACCACAGTTCTCAAGACCCGTTCATCCAGGCACCCCATAGGATCCCCCCTATCAGCCTGGGAGGATTCTATCACCCCCTTTGGATTCCAGGAAAACGGAGGCCTGAGGGTTGAAGCACGTCGCTATGGTTACAGGCAGTTCGAGGGAGAGACGCAGGCTGGTGCCATTGTCTGGCAGCGGGCACAGGTGCTTGGCAGACACGGCTGCCCCCAAACCCCTGCGGGAAACTGTCTTCTGAGAGCCACAAGGAGGCCCAGCCAAGGTCCGCTCTGCCCGCCCAGCCAACACCTGTTATTTGCATCGTGGTGATGGAGATCTTGGTGCCACTGCCCTGGGGGTGAGCAGGCAGGCGGGCGCCAAGAGACGTCCAGATAGGGCTGTCCAGACGGGGAGGCAGGCCAGAAGGATCCTCCAGCCCCTGGCTGCAGACAGGGAAACTGAGGGCCCTGGGCAAGGTGTGGCTGGGGGGTGGGGGCCCCCCAGGCCTGAATGTGCTCCCCACACCCCCTGCAGCCTCTGCAGAGCATCCCAGAGCAGCCCGCCCCTGCCCTCCCGCTCAGAGCTGGGCCCCCAGGGGGGGGAGAGCCTGGGTGGTGGGTCAGAGGGCTGTGATCCTAGACTCAGTCCCCTGAAGAGCTACCAGATTGGCCAGACCCTGTGCCGTCTGGGTTCAGGATTGCGTTGCGTTGCGTTGCGTTGCATTGCGTCGTTGTGCTGTGTTGTTTTCTTTTTTGAGCAGCAGGCAAAACTTTATTAGATGACAGGATCAGAAAGGAAGAACAGTATGGAAGCTCTCTTTGCAGAGGGGGGGCACTCGGAAGTGAATGCCCCAGTTTAGGTTTCGATCAATGGTGGTTTTCCAGGAATTTGTCTGCGGTACCCAGACTTCCAAACTCACTGACAAAAGTCGTTGCGATATCTTCTCGCTGCCATTTTGATGCCTGAGGACGTGAAGCGGGGCGGCCGCCGGCCCCGACGTTGAGGGTTTGAGGCCAGGGCTTCGTGTGTGACACCCGGGAGGTCCGGACGGGCCACCCTCAAGTGTTCCTCTTCTCCTTTCCTGATCCCAGCCACCTGTCGATCCCTCTTAGGCCACTTTTGTCTGTTTCGCCAACGTCGACATCTGCTGTTCCTTTGCCTTCCAGCTCTTTGGGTTTGTTGCTCAGCTCGCTGTTTGAGATGTGTACTTAGCCCATGGATTGGCAGCCTTCTGTTGAGTTTTTTTTTTAACTTTTAAAACAAACGCGTTAAAATAGATACACACATATATACACATGAAGTTTACCATTTTAACCATGTTCAAGTGTGCAGTTCAGTGGCACCGAGCACATTCACCCTGCTGTGCAAGCGCCACCTCCAGAACTTTCTCAGCTTCTCAAACTGAACCTCTGTCCCCGGAAACACTGACCCCCCAAGCCCTGCCCGTGCCCCCGACGCCCACCCTTCCAGTCTCTGCCTCCGTGACTTGGGCCATTCTTGGGCCCTCACAGAAGTGGAGTCCTACGGCACCCCTCCCTCTGTGCGGGTCTGTTTCACGCACAACGTCCTCCGGGTTCGGCCGTGTTGAAGCCGGTGTCAGAACGGCCTTGCCTTTTAAGGCGGAGTCACCGTCTGCTGTGCGGACGGACCACGTGGTGTTTATCTATTCCTAGGTTCGTGGACAGTCAGGTTGTCTCCACCTTTGGGCAGCCGTGAATGCGCTGCCCTGAAGACTGACGTGCGCACCTGTTTCGGTGCCCGCCGTCCCTTCTTGTGGAGATGCGCTCAGAGGAGTTGCTGCTGGGCCACATGTGACTCCCTGTTTAACGGGAGGAAACACCGTGCTATTCTCCACAGCGGCTGCACCATTTCACATTCCCACTTGCATTTTTTTTAACGTTTTATTTATTTTCAAGAGATAGAGCACCAGCAGGGGAGGGACAGAGAGAGGGGGAGACGCAGAATCTAAAGCAGGCTCCAGGCTCCCAGCTGCCGACGCAGAGCCCGACGCGGGGCTCGAACTCGTGAACCACGAGGCCACGACCTGAGCGAAAGTCGGACACTTAACCGACTGAGCCACCCAGGTGCCCCTCACGTTCCCACTTTCTTTTTCTGCTTTTTTTTAAAGGATGCTTTTCATTCTAAACAATGTGTTAGCGGCATCCCATAAATTTTGGTATAATAGTTTTCACTGTTATCCAGTTCAAGCTGTTTCCTAATTTCCATTGCAATTTCTTTTTTTTTTTTTTAATTTTTTTTTAACGTTTATTTATTTTTGAGACAGAGGGAGACAGAGCATGAACGGGGGAGGGGCAGAGAGAGAGGGAGACACAGAATCAGAAGCAGGCTCCAGGCTCTGAGCCATCAGCCCAGAGCCCGACGCGGGGCTCGAACTCATGGACCGCGAGATCATGACCCGGGCTGAAGTCGGACGCTTAACCGACTGAGCCACTCAGGCGCCCCTCCATTGCAATTTCTTATGCTATCCATGGCTTATCTAGAGGTGGAAATACCCTGATTCCCAAATATGTAGAGATTTTCAAATTCTTTTCTGCACCTCCTTTGACTACATTGTGCGCAGAGGTATTGTTTTGAACGTCTTAGCGTGGAGAAGCCTCTCGGCATCCAAGCAGAGATAGTGGGAGCTCAGTGGCCTCGGGGGAGGGCTCCATGCTGGAAATGGACATTCAGAGTTGTTGGCATGCGGGTAACCGGTGAGCGTACACAGAAAAGGAGTTGGAGCACCCCACACTGAAAGGCCAGGGGGGCAAGAAGGAACCAGCTAAGGAGACCAAGACGGACGGCCAATGAGGCGAGAACAACTGGGAGGAGTGATGTCAGGAGAAGCGTTTCAGGGAGGACACGGTGACCCACATGTTGCCGACAGATCAAGGAACACGGAGACCATGGACCGCTGGGTTTAGCAACACGGAGGTCGTGGATGATCTTGATTGCAAGGGGCACGTAGAAGCAACAGTTTTCTTACAGAGAGGTGTCGATTAAAACAGTTTGTATCGGTAAGAATGGTCTGATAGAGAGGGAAAAAACCACTGATACATAAGAGAGAAGGAAGGATTGCTGGAGCAGTGTGTTAGGTACGTGTGAGAAGATGGGGGGATGGGCTGGGCAGGGGTGAGATGGGATGGGGTGAGGACGGGAGGGGGTGGGATGGGTGGGGGAAGGGTGGGAGGGGGCGGGAGGGGACGGGGTAAGAGTCGATGGGGGGATGGGGTGGGATCGGGTGGGATATGACGGGACGAGTGGATAGTTGGCCAACTCTTTTCTCCAAAGGGCCAGATAATTAATATTTCAGGCTTTGCAAACCATAAAGTTTCTGTAGCAACTCCTCAGCTCTGTTATTGGAGCACGCAGGCAGCCACAGACAATATGGAAACGAATAGATTATTCTCCAACAAAACTTTATTTACGAACAAGCGGCGGGCCACATTTGGCCTACGAGCTACAGCTCGCTGAACTGTGGATTAGAGGACGGACAAATAGAAGGATACGTGGGTCGGTGGGTGGAGGGACTGTTATGAGGCTGGTGGGTGTGTGGCCGTGGGTGGATAGGTGGCAGATTGGAGAATGGCTGGAAGGACATTGCCCACAAAGGGTGGGGAAGACAGTAGATCCCATATTCTAGGAACTGGCCTTTGAGAGGAAAAACATCACAGGATTTGTTTTTCCCCTTGGGACGAGCAATTGCGTGCATACAGAAACGTGCGGGCGTCCGTTCTAAGCGTGCGGCTTGACTGAGCCCTCCGCTGGGCTCAGAAGTCCCCCCACCGACACAGCTTAGTCTCGCCTCTTTATACAGATGGAACCGCGTGTGTGGGTGTGTGTGCTTGTGCACAAGCACACTCTGTGCACCACCATATCTTCACCCAGAATGCAGCACGCGGTTATAGCTTGCTCCTTCTTTTGCTCTATAGGATCGCATGGTGTGAATATACCGCGCTTTTCTTCCATTCTATTCTCAACGGCCATTTGAGTAGTTTCCACTTTGGCCT